CCCCCTGCTAACATCTGAGGACACAGAGACGTGTACATATTTGTATGTATACATTCATTTATCATTAGACCCTGGTTCAAACAAGAAAACTAACAGATCTCAAACCGATTCTTCTGCTTTGCAGGCAGCAGTCTTTTTACAGAAGAGCTAGTCAGAGGATTTACTAGTAAGTCAGAATTCAGAACTATACTTATTTACAATATTACTCAAACTGTCAATTTCCAACTGGTAAAACAAAAATTTTGAATTATACTTCCAGGTTAGAGCTCCATTTTTATAAGGGGTTCAAAAACAGTAAAATTTATATCTAAGTGACAGCCCAATTGCTTACCAATTGCTCTATTTCATTATCTTTAAGCTGTATGCCCTCTTCTAGCAACTGGACCAATTTCTTCCAAAGCTGATGAAGTTCAACATTGTCTGCACCTTCTTCTCTTCTTATTTTTATTAGTTTGTGCCAACTTCGTGCCACCTATCAAGAAAATGCCAACAACATCTCAGGTCAGGTCAGCTGCAATTAAAGCAGGTGATTTGAAGTTAAGCAGTATTAGCCTAGTTAGTACTTGAATTAGGGACCATCTGGGAATTCCAGCTGTTGACCAAAACTGTGAAAACTGAAGAAAAAAACTGGAAAAAGGCATTGGCAAATGAGGTCTGTAAAACTGCCAAGAAAATTCCATAGATGTAATCATCTGGACTTTAGAACAAGATTAAGGATAAATACTCTACAAAATACCTCCTGAATAGATTTTAATATCATAATTACTGACTTCTTCTCATGATTCCTCTTTTTAATAGAAAAACTATGCTATTTTGTTTCTAAAATGAAAATAAAAAATTAATGCCTTTCTTCCTTTCTGGGAATAGAAGTGATGTTTTGAGCAACTGAGATACTAGTTGGGATAATGAGTAAGTTATATGAATCAGGAAGCATCAAAATAGGCTAGCTGAAACTACAAAAGAAAATATTTAATGTTGGTAGAAATTATAGTTGAAAATGGATTACCTTTGATTAAATAAACAGAAAAAATATTAGCAATGGCAAAGAAAGCATTACAAGGTAAAAGATTAACAATAAGTATTTGAGGAAAACCACTTTGTAAATTCCACTTCCATTAATACTTGAAAAGCAATACCTCTGCAGCACTGAAACACTCTAGAAGAAACAACCAGCATATTTCAAGGCAACGAAATAATAGAAAATTGACATTGATGGAAGCAATCAAAAGCAAATATAGTGTGGGTTATTCACCAGCTGGCATGCTAATATACCAAGTTCTAAAGAAGGATTTATCATAGGCGTCCTTGCAATATTTATTTCTAAAAAACCTGATTCACCTAATGGCTTCCTCAATGATATCTGAGGACAACTGACCTATAAATCATAAAAATAGTCTGAGACACTACACATCCTCTTCATGACCTGTTTTCTTTGTTACCTTCTGGGAGGAGGCTTCATGTCCCCCCATGAATATTTACAAAGGCCTCATAATTTCAAGGAAACTCAAGGGATACAAAGCAAATGATATTTACAAATATAAAATCAGTTAGCTTTTTCTGTACTTACCCAAAAGCATTTTTTTGTATAAGGGACTGTTTACAATGACCAAAATAAAATTAGTAAAATAGTAACTAACCTGAAGATATTGTTTATCTTTATGATACAGCTCCACAAGCTTTTTACATACTTCACACCATTTCTGTTGATCATTGCTTAAAAAAAAGTAAGATGTATTTAGTGATTATTTAACTTCTTAAAGAAAAAATGCTTAAAGGTAACCATTTTTAAGATAACGTCTTCTGCCTTTTTCAGTCCTATCCTGCTTCTTATCCTTGATTTTTATTTATGAAGGGTACATCTAGCATTCTCCATCTTCCTTTGGGTGGTGTGGTGGCTCAGTGGTTAAGATGCTGGGCTTTTCAGATAGAAAGCCAACAGCCTAGGTTCGAGACCCAAGAACTATGTGATGGGGTGAGCTTCCGTCCTCGCCCCAGCTCCTGCCAACCTAGCAGTTTGAAAGCATTCAAATGAGACTTTGATGAGAATATAACAGTGCTCTGTGACATGCTGGCCACATGACCATGGAAATGTCTTTGGACAGTGCTGGTTCAATGGCCTTGAAACAGAGATGAGCAACACCCCCTATAGTCAACAACAATTAGCAAAGTAAAATCCACAAGGACTCCTTTACTTTTTTTTTTTTTACATCTTCCTTTCTATCATCTTTTCTCCATCTTCCTTTGGGCTTCTGCTATTTTTTTTTTCACCAGTATTGTCCACAACATCTTTTTTAATCTTTGTCTTCCTCAATCTAGTAGACATGGCTTCCCTTCACTGCTCTCTATTTGGTCACCTTTAATTTTACAATTACCTGACCCCTTTATCCCTTTTTCACTTAGCATTGTTTTCTTTCTTCTCCTCAGTCATTAAAAAAGACAACTTAGCATTTACAACACCACTTGGAGGTAGATGAAAGCTTAATACATTGAAGGGGGCTATTTGCTGCCTCTTTCCAAGGTAATTCTCGGGGGGGGGGGAAGGAGAATGGGAAGAGGAAATTTTTTCCTAACTGAAGGAATATACACCTTACTAACAATCCTTAACCATAGCTTTGCTGCTGACATCTATGTTCTTAAAATAATTTTAAAAAGAGAGAGACAGAGACATACAGACCGACAAAAGGGGTGAAATACTCACACCTAAAGAATGTGTGGGTGAAATCTCTTATTTTTTTAAAATATTTTAAATATGACAGAAGGTTGACAGCTGACAAAAATATATATATAACTATTTCTTACTTTTCATAGAGTTCTAGTAGTTTCTCATAAACCTTAATCCAGTCTTCTTTGACATCTGTATGATTCCTTTTTTCATACAAATTTGCCAATCCCTGGGTGAAATTGAAGAATGTCACTTTGGAAGCAAATACTTGATGTGTGATATGTAACTTCAACTTCAATTATCAACTTTTATGGACTATGCCTTCCAACATAATATATTTAATAACAGAAAATGAATTAAAACAATTCATGATGAGAATATATAAAGTTATTCTTTATAAACAAGAGATAATTACAGGTAGTCCTTTGGTTACACTGGTAATTGGGACTGGGACTGCTATTGCTAAGTGACTGCAGTCATAATCGGTGATATCACATGATTACATTATTTAGCAACAGCAATCCTAGGCATTCCTGGTTGCCATGATAACTCAAAGACACACATCATTAAGTAGGAAAAGGAGGAGTTCCATGGAAGGAATGCAGGGGTGTAGGAGTGCATGGGTGCAGTGGGTTGTGGGGGAAACTAAGGGAAAGCTGGAACAGGACATTAAAAAACTGCATGAAGTTGGGGCAGATCTGGGAGGGGTGCTGCAGGCCATAGGAAAAGCAGGAATGACTTACCGGAGCAACTTGTGACATCTCGGATGATTTCCCCATTGATTTGCTTGTGAAAAGCCAGCAGGGAAAATCACAAATGGTGATGATGTGACCGTGGCTACTTGTGACATTGTAATTAGGAGCCAGACACCCAAGTGCCCCAATCATGATTATGTTACCACGCGGGTCATTCCCAGGTGGAAACTTTGATGACTGGTTGTACATCTACTTTTTCAGTGCCATAACTATGAACAGTCACTGAAGGAATGGATGTAAGCCGAGGACCATCTATATAATCTTTTAAGGTACTAACTGCCAACTGTTTCCCAATGATTTGATTTGCAACAGAAATGAAAAACTGTCATTGACCCAAAAGCCAGAGTGCTCCATTCTGGGGCTGAAAATGAAGAATTTATAATGCTGAGTTATACACAGCATCTTAAATAATAACATTATATTGCACATGTGCAAATGAGCTATTAGCCAAGGGGAAAAAAAGGGGAGGGGAAGGCTTCTAATCTTTGAGTTCACCACACTATTATATTTTCTGAAGATCTACAATTTATTCACATAAACAGATATGTTTACATTCATATAAACATGTTTGCATAAAAAATGTGATTAAAGTCATATATACCTGCCATGCCAGCAACTGCCCAGGATCAAGTTCAGCAGCCTTCTTATATGCACCTTGGGCTTGTTCGGGTTGTTCTAATTCAGCAGCCGCCAGGCCAATGAATACCCAAGCATTGTAATTATTTTTTTCTTGTTTCAATACTGCCTATTAAACAGAAATTCAAGTGAAAATATTAAACTATTCTTTTTGCAATTCAGATACACATTTATTAAACGATTTAACAACTTAAAAAGTCTTATTCAGATTCATTGTCTTAGACTGTGTATTGCCTTACCCCCAAAATCCAGAATTTATATAACATCTAAAAGTCTATGGAGATTCTCAGTCATATAGGTTATGGTGGTCCCAAAGGTGCTTTTTCATGAGGCAACTGGACTTTCTTTTTTTCTCTTTGAAGACGTTTTACTTCTCATTCAAGAAGCTTCAGCTGAAGAAGCTTTTTGGATGAGAAGCGAAACGTCTTCAAAGAGAAAAAATAAAGTCCAGTTGCCTCGTGAAAAAGCATCTTTGGGATAACATCTAAAACTATGCAAAAGTCTTGATAGCCAGAAATATGTTCTGGGTGTTCAATTTCGAAGTTTCATTATATATAAAAGTGCTGGTGGAAAAACAGCCTGCCAGTGCCAGTCTCTTAAGACATTACAAACAAACTAACAACCTAGCTCAGTGGTTGGATTCACAAATGATGCTAAACAATACTGTAATGCCATATACTTCCTTGTGGCTTAATATGTTCTGAAGTAGTCTGTAAAGTGATTGTGCCTAATTCAACAAAGTAGATTAAATAAAACTCTGGCTTAATAGGATGAACCAGGAAATTTTATATTAATTATAAAGGGAAAATAAATCCCAAAGGATGGGATAAGAAAGGTATTGTTGCAGAAAAAATAGTATGGCAGCAGATAAAAGAATATACAGCAAAAGAGAAAGAAAAATAATTATACAGGTTTGTTGTAGAATGAAGATACTCCTGAAATGGCATTAAAGATGATTACAGTACTATGAACTTGTTGTAATGTTTTAATGCAGACAACCTTTTGACTATTGATTACCTTGCAATGTTTCAGTGCTTCTTTATACTCCTTATTTCTTATTGCATCTCTGGCACTTTTCAATGCTGCTTTCACTTCCTTGTTTGACATGACTACAGGTAATATTAATTTAAGAAAGTTACTGATACATATGAAGACATCTGATGTATATTTGTAAAATAATACAGTATAGTATTTTACTCAGCAGCATAGCTAGGTAATAATAATGATGATGATGATGATGGTGATGATGATGATAAAGTTGGAAGGGACCTCGGAGGTCATCTAGTCCAACCTCCTGCTCAGGCAGGAAACCCTATACCATCAAGGTCATACTGTTGCATATATAAGAGAATACAACTAAAGAGTATATACAGGACCCATAATCCAGAATAATTGTAGTGATAAAAAATAATGAAACCTTTGTTGCAATAACACAAGCTCTGGCCTTTTGTATTTGCATCCTAATATCAGATGTAACTACAGCAGGTAAATTCCAGAGTTTGCATTGTTACATATGTACTCTGTCATATGTCTCCCCACTTTGGATGCCTATACCTTCCCATTCATCCCTCATTTTGCAGAATTTGTAGAATGCATACGAGCTCTGGAATGTTGGGCTAATATAATTTTCTTTTCTTGGCAACTAAAGAAATTTTGAGTGTTTTTAGTTCAATGAGAGAAATGACAAAATAAACAAAAACATTATTTCATCTGCTTATTTCCCCCCACAACTATGTTGCTTCTTTCTTTTCAGCCCAGCCAAATTAAGCATTTTGAATAAAGCATGTCTTTCACTTTCAGAGATCTCTCAATAGTATACCTTCTCTAGAAGTATTATTCTAATGATCTGCAGAGGGAACCCTTCAGCCAGAGTATTCAAAATATTTTATATTATTTGTTAAAAGCAACCTATAATGTAAACCAGCATAATTACAAGTATGTTAGAGATGTGAAGGGAATTAGGAATTTGTTTGAATCTTGTATGGGCAAACATTTAAACTGCTATCGTCTGAATTTATAATTCTGTTTCCCAACACTTGCTAGTACACATATACTAAGATCATCACTGTAATCAATAGCTATACTTTAAAAATGCCCATAACGACCTTCACAATTACATATACAACAAAACAAATGTCTCTGTCTCGAGTCTTATATAATTAACAGGAAAACAACTACGGGAGGAAAATATAAGGCACGGGTTGAAAAGTACACGGCAAATGCGATGACATGTACCCTACATGCAAAGTTTATAACCAAGAATGAAGATTCAGTATGCTTCTTTAGGGATCTTCCAGACAAAGTTTTCATTGCAGAAATGTCCTGCTTTCCTTGCAATAGGTAGGACAGCTCCACAATAAATGTCTTTATCAGTTAAATACTTTGTGAAGTTTTTTCTGCTTAACAGACTTTTTGGGAAAGAAAAATGATGGGGAAAGCCAGAGTTATAAATGGAAGGCGACGTTGCACCAAATGTTTGGGATGCGAAATGTCACCGTTGCAAAAAAAAAAAAAAAAAAAAAAACCTCCATTGGAACCACCCTAAGACAAGGCCAAAGGCCACGTAGCAAAGGGAGCCGTGGACACATGGAGGAGGGTGGGGGACGCGGCGTTCAGAACTGCGCTGCGAGCCTGATCGTTTCGCTTTCCCCCAACGAAATCGCAAACCGGCTTAAGCGCGAGATTCATCGGGTTTTCTTTGCAAAGAAACCGAAATCGGGCACAATGGCAGAAAAAGCGCGCTCGAGGGCTCAAGACCCTCGCCCGGGGTCGCACAACAGGGACACTCACCAGCAGCCGCTGCGCCCAGGAAAACTACCAGTACCAGCAGCCACCAAGCATCATTTCCTCAAATTCGCAAAAAAACTGCGCAGGCGCGCTGAGTTTTTAATTTTAAAGCTCCCCTCCCTTGTCCCTGACGTCAGAGGGCAAACTGCGCGAGGTTGCCTGGTTCAGTTTTCGCGCAGTGATGGGAGTTGTGGTTCCCTGGCGGAAACGTGTCTAGATTCCACGCAGTTACTCTCATTGTACGGTTTCGAACTTTTCACTTCTAAACTAATTGGGGAGAATAAATTCCCTTTTACTACTGGATGTAATGCACTTTTCATTTTACTGATTTTCTTACCTCTGGATTACTTTGCGAGAAATGCACGCAATCGTTTATGGGGAAAAAAATTATGCTACAAAATTTCACCTGGAAGATTGAGGTTTTTTTTCTACACGAAGCATATATTCTTGCATTGGAGTCTATCATTAGGTGGTGAGGACAGGACATTACTGCACAAGTATTCTGGTTTCCTATTTTTTTATTATAACCTATGCGTAGGTCCTCTCTTCACAGACAATGGTCCGTGGTCTGTAAATTACAAATTACACTGTAATTATAATTTGCGCTGTAATTATCTTCCTTCGTCGCGTTACACTATGGTTCGCCAGAGTACCTCTTTTTTAAAAAAAAAATATTTTCCGGTTTCCCCCGCCTTTCGCACGGTAAAAAGGGATGAGCTTTTTGCACATTCCTAACCTTGAATGGGAAGACAGCTTTAGCGCATTCATTTACCAAAGGGATTGACATTAATAACTAATTTTTCGCAATGTATCATGGGAGTAGTAGTTTTCCATAGTGCAGCTGTTTCCCTTCCCCTCCCCTGGTCTAATAGTGTTATTTGTTGATCACGAGCTTCCCAGGCTCAGTCAATTGAAGATCGTTTGTCCGGCTGTGCGAAGTAAAAATGGGTTCCGAGAAGGAATTCTGAAGGAAGGGGCTGGAGCCTTTGATCTTAAGATGCTTAAAATGGATAAAGGAGGGAGAAAATCCGCCTGCTTTACAAACTATATAATAGTTAGCTTGTGCCTTCTGCTGGTCCGGTTTGTTCTTTGGAGACCTGTAGAGGCAAGGCCTTTGCTCAGTCCTAAAGAGAGCTGTGATACTTGTGAAAAGCCTAATGTTGTGCTGGTGGTGTGCGATTCTTTTGTAAGTATTTTGTTTTCTTTTAAAAGACTATTTAGACAATTTTGTTTTCTATTGACTTTGATTGAAGGGAAAGAAGGAGTGATGACACAAGACTCATATTTTCAGCTACTGCAGGCTCCCCCAGTGTGGTGCCCTCCAGATATTTTGGGAGTGTAATTGCTTTGGCCATAGTAGGATCAGATTAGCGGAAGATGTAATTCCACATCAGGGAGCGCTGTGTTCTGAAGAGTTGGCCTACTGTATGTTTCTTTGGGCTGCTTCACCTTTCTGTCTCTTCCCATTTGAAGCAGACACCTACTGCCCCTTTAGTACTGAATGTGAACGTAGCTAAATTTTATCCAAGTACTTTGAGTATATCCACTATGTAAACTGCAAGCCTATGTAAACTCCAAGTACTTTGAGTATATCCACTATGTAAACTGCAATGGGCAAACTATGTTTGCCCATTGAACCAATGGAATGTACTTCCATTGCATAAAGTTGTATAAAGCTACATCTTTCCAAGATAACTGCCCTCCCAAATGGGATCATACCGGTAGGAATAGTGAGAATGAGGAAACAAGTTGTGCAAACATTCCAAACAGTTTTTTGTGTACACTAGGGGGCCTACCAACACAACTAATAAAATAATAGTTTGGGTGTGAGATATTTTGCAAGTTTTTCTGTGTTTTTAAACAGTAGTGAGAAGGTGATTAGGATTAGAAAAAAAAATAGGCATGGCTATTGGGCTTTTAGCCATGAAGTTGCTAGCAAAAATGACAGTTGCCTGAGCACATGTCAGATTGGTCTCATGGAATCCCACTGAAAGACAAAAGCTTTTAAACACGCCTTGTTTAACCCAAAGGTGCTTTTTCCAAAAGGCAACTGACTTTCTTGGTTTTTTCTTTGAAAACATTTCACTCTGAAACATTTTCAAAAACAAAAAACCAAGAAAATCCAGTTGCCCTTTGGAAAAAGCACCTTTGGGACAACCATGACCTGGATGGTTGAGATTCTCCATAAACACCATGTTTAAACACAATGTAAACTGCAAAATTTTAGAAAAATATAGTGTCTTTCTTAGGCTGAACAAATGAGTGACTGGGTTCATTAAATTATCAGAACGATTAGCCCTTCAGGCTACAAGGAAAGGATATTTCTCAGTTCCAATATCTACAGGAAGTAGGCAGAACAGAAAATATTATCAATTAGAATTCCTTCTGTAATATTATTTTAAGGAACTCTAGCAAGAAATTTAAATTTTTTGACCTGTTAGGGTTAAATGATGGTGTGGTAAAATTATTGTTCCTTTGAGTCAGAATTGGTTTCTGGCAATTGCATGGATCAATCCCTTCAGTTTTCTTGGCAAGATCTCAGAGGTGATTTGCCATCACCTCCTTCCCAGAGCTGAGAGAGTGCATGACCCAAGGTTACCTGACTGGCTATATGCCTAAGGTAGGACTAGAACTCAGAATCTCCCACTTTATACCCTGGTGCCCTAACCCCTAGATAAAGCTGGTTCTCTTTTCTCCCTAAAAACATCTAAAATATCTAATTTTTAACAAAATAAATACAGTACATAAATTGCACATTTTAGCCACTGAGTTGTAATACTCCTTAATCTCCAAATGCATTCCCACATTGTCATTTTTTTCTTTTCTTGCAGGACGGAAGGCTAACATTTTCCCCAAAAAATGAAACTGTAGTTTTGCCTTTTATAAATCTCATGAGGAGACAAGGCAGTCTCTTTCTTAATGCCTACACCAATTCTCCCATTTGCTGTCCATCCCGTGCAGGTAAAATTATACATAAAAAGGCAATATTTGGGTAAATGGCAGAACAAAAATAAAGGACCTACAGAGAAAATATATTCCATCCTTGAGAAAGGAGAGAGATAATATTTTGATGGATTTTCATGCTATAGGAGTTCCTCTGGAGCTTGCACAGTATTGTTCCATAGAAGCGGCAAGAAATTAATCTTCAAAATTCTTGTCTTATGGGCTGCCATCCAAATTGTATCAAGTGAAGAAGACAGTTGTGTAAATGCATTGTTTTATTAATATTTTTTTTAGCCATGTGGAGTGGCCTTTTCACTCACTTAACGGAGTCCTGGAACAACTTCAAGGGCTTAGATCCAAATTATAGAACATGGATGGACCTTATGGAAAAGAAAGGCTACTACACCAAAAAATATGGAAAACTAGATTATACTTCTGGACATCATTCCTTAAGGTGAGTAAAGAATGAAATATATCTCCAGGCTTTTTTGATGAAATCTGGATCGTTTTATTGTTTCTCTTTTAATTGATTAAATGCTTTTCAGTGTTTCTATCTTTCAGCATGAAAAAGTGTCTCATAGTCAAGGGCTACTGTAAAAATTGTTTGAGATATAATTCTTAAGATGAATAACTATTGTGACTAACTATTCCTTTCCACTCCAACCTCATGAAATGATTTCTATTTATAGCTAAAAAAAAATTGAATTAGAGATTTGTTTCCATTAGTGCTGTTGCACTACCAGTAGACGTTCTTCCTTTTAAAAATGTGCTTTATATCTGAAGTATGAAGTGAATGAAGGCAGGTATGTATGAAAATGCCTCTCATATATTTTGTACTAATTCAGCATTGCAGATTTCACATTCCTTAAAGTTGTAATTGGTGTCCAACTTCATACTTTATGTAGTATTTATGTCAAATCTTGTCTGGATTAGTCCTAATAATATAAAAATTA